TACAGCAGCCACAGCAGCCAGCTAGCTCGCTCGCTCCAAATCTCAACATTCTTCTCTTTTGGATCCTATTACAGAGCTACCCAGCAGCCAAAGTACAAAGTCCCATCAGTAATCATCCTAAATCCTGCATGTTCTCAAAGCTCTTAATGCAGAATGTGATTCTACATTCATCAAATGCTTTCTTTTGCATAACAATGGCCTGAACTCACATGGTGAGCCCAGTGGATGTGCTTTCTTCATTGAGTTGGTGGTAGGAGTAAGAGACCACAGAGAGGAATGAGTCAGGACCAGAATGCCGTGGTTCTGTGCACTGTGTAGCCTCTCCTTAACAAACTCTGTAGTCCAACTCGCTCGGGTTACACGCGTACTTTCCAAAAAGAGGTTTTATGAAACTCCGGCCACCAAAGCTATCCGCTGACCCCACCTTGTACACAGGTCTATCACCTTGGCTTGATTGTATAACAGGCCAATATAATTCTTACTTAAGGATCTGTGGAAAAATATGTCATTAATGTCCATGCATGTTGGGAATTGGACTTCACACATGACATGTCAATAAATGGATGGGGAATTCTGTTTCTCTTATTGTGGTATAAGTTATAAAATGAGATGAGGCTAAAGGTCCTGTAGCCGTAGAAGTCTCAGACAGCTGCCAAATTGTTATGCAAAAATGATCAGCAGTGAAAAGGGAGAAGGAGCCTCGGGTCATATAAACGTGGATCTACTGTAAACTACAACTAATGAGAAACTCATACCAGCGTGGAGGAAAAATCATCAGGTGTCAAATTGAAAAGGTTTCACACAACAACAACTTACTGTTTATTCTGACTCATTTAGTTTTTGCTTCCTCTTTCTGACACACATTAACTTTTAGTTTTTTATTTCTAGCCTCTCTGTCTGTCTAATCCAGATGGTGTATTGCAGTCTTGTGATTTCAGATTAGGGAGAAATTAAGAGCGCTTGTTTGATGAAACGGCTCTCCCTGCAAATACAAGTTGTGCAGACCATCACCATCTCATTACTACCAGCACCTGACAGACCTCTTTACCTACAAGCGTACGGCGAGTAAAGTTTCACCTTATCTAAGTGATTAGTTGAGGTGGAATTGAAATGATTTCCATGGGGAACTTGGCTAATTGCAGAAGCAGATACTAGGATATAGATTCAGAAGAGTAAGAACAAATGAAAACAGTGTCTACCGTTAAACAGACCGGATAATCTCACTTATAATAAAGACGATTCTCGTTGTGAATTTGTCGAGGAGATTTGCCAAACAAAGTAGCCACATTTATGCTGCTGGATCTTCTTTCAAACGCCTCAAACCTGCAGCAAATCATTTTCTTTCTATGAAAATAAACAACCATAAACAAGCCAGGCACCACTTAAACTACCAAAAAAAAACTGCACTGCTCCGCTGTAAATGTTTACTGAATGAGAGCAGGCAAAATAAGAGCAATGACCAACCAGGGATTTGGCAGTTTCCCAGCAAACACCGGCACTGGACTAAAAATGACTTTGTAATCAGAGGGTTTAGAGAGCAAACAAAGGAGGAGAGAATAAAACCCAGGGAATGGAAAAGAGTGAGTCTATGAATTACTCAGCAGACACGTCTCTCCCGACTCTCTGCAGGGGATAATGGGGATCATCCATCTTCTTGCCCTCCTTTACGCCCAATCTTTTGACCACTCATATGCATCCAGGTCAGCTGAGAGAAACCACATGTCCTCTCCAATAACTGTGATGTGCAGAACTTGGTAGGAAGGGATTTTAGTATAGTAGCATTTTTTGGGGGAAAAGCAAATGGTAAATGGGCTGCATTTAAATAGTGCTTTTCTACCTTACCGGACAAAGCGCATAACAATTTGCAAGGCCTGAGCAACTTGGGGTTCAGTGTCTTGCTCGAGGACACTTCGACAAGCGGACAGGAGGAGCCAGGGATCAAACCGCCAACCTTGTGATTAATGAACAACCGCTCTACCTCCTGAACCACAGCAACCGGAAATTGTCTTACAAAGCAGAATTACCAAGCTAGCTGGATACCTCATTAAATGTGTAAAAGAAAACGTCTGCATTGTGGGCGGAGCTGAAATAGAAAGAAGTGATGTCACACACATGTCTGAGCACCAATCAGGATTTGGCAACACCTGATTAAAAATCTGATGACAGTTGGTGGGTCGTTTGGTTACTGTCAATTAATTCTGATCAAACCACACCCGCATGGTCCCGATGAAGCAAATTGGCTACATTTTTAACACTTGAAGGAATGTTCAAAATTTGGGTAAATACAAAAATTTGCTTTCTGTCCAAGAATTGAATTATTAGAAGATTGACATCACTCATACACTGTGCCCAGTACAGCAAATATGTTTGCTTAGCGTGGCACAAAGACTGGAAACATGTGGGTGGAAAGCTCGCAGTGCTCTGCACAAAGGAGTCAAAATTACACTACTAGCACCTCTAAAAGCTCACTAATTAATATAAAATAATGTCTTTTTACTTTGATTGTTGCTTCTTTGGTTAAGCATATTGAATGTTATGGAGGAATGGTAAAGATTCAAAGCAGAACTTTAAACCTAGAAAAGCTCTTTTACTTACATTAAGTCCATTTTCCACATTTAAAGCGATTCCAGGTTTGAATCAGTGAAGGTATCCAGATTATTTAGTAATCCTGCTTCACGAGGCAGGCCTCAAGCGTCCACAGCAAAGTGCTTTTCATATTATTGAATATGAAATTATTGAGTGAAGGTGTAAATAAAAAACACAAATGCACATTTTAAGTGAGATAACTTGGCCTGCATGTACAGGTTATAAGAAATGGGTTCTCATTACCATAAAAACTCATCTAGCGACAGCAGAGTGAAGTAATCTAAACATTTTAAGACACGTGTTTACTCAGAAATAAAACCGGAGCAGAGAAAATAAATGCATCTCTAGAGGAAGCAGCATGTATTATAACCACAATATGAGTGCACAGATTGTTTATTTCACCCGTCAGTAGCCCAAAACTGCTGACGCTGGAATATAAACTAGCTGAGCTGCTGGATCGTCTCAAACTCAAGTTATTCCAACGGCTTCTGCTGCTTAAACAGCTAAAGTAAACATACATGACACATCTATTCAACTTCATGAATAATACAGTGTTCCTGCACACTGACACACACCTACAGGCACACTCAAGCCGGGAGATGTGTCACTTAGCGTGACGCAGACATGCCTGGCTTTAAATCCCTAAAAGCCGAAGCTCAGTGAGAAGGATTGAAAACCTGCGGGATCCACAGGCTCTCATCTTCCAATAAAACGAGTCGTCTATTCTTTCAGGAGACAGGAGGTAACGGGGAGGCAACCAAAGGGCATCATCGCGGGGTGAAAAGTTCACAGCAGCGTACGGGGATGGGATTTAACAGAGAGAAAGGGAGGTCGATCTCATTTTACCTGAAAGAGAATGACATTTTTCTTCTTTGATCAGGGAGAAAATGGAGGAAATGTGGAGTTGGGGAATCATGAAAAGAGGCAGAGACAACAGAGTATATCAGCGGAAGAAAACTCAAGACGGAGAAGCGGAAGACAACAGAGTCGGGGAGATATGACTATCAGAGCTCCAACATGGCAGGATGTGAGATGTGGAGAGCAGGAAGAGGAAACTGGACAGATATAGATTCATTTGGTTGCCGCTCCTGAAAACATGTCTATCCCATTAGGGGCCTCAGTGACAGTTAATGTGCTTATCAAAGCGTGCACCTTTGGTCTGTTCCTAACCCTGGTGTTGGGGCTACTGCACATAGCTAATATGGAGAAAGAATGAGAGAACATGTTCTCCAGAGTTGGCAAGAAACACAGGGTCACACCCTGGGGGGGTCGAATCTCAAATCTAATCAGATCAGTAATTATGATTTTATCACAGCTCAGCAGATTTGACCATGTGAGTACCGCTCATATAAAGGAGAAGTTAAATAATGAGTCTCATCTAACACACAAAGAAGCTTTGTGACAAACAATCACGCTTTTCATTATTTACTCTGTACAGCGCTGAGAGACTACACTTAAAAGTAAAGTCAAAGTAGACATTTTTAATATGTTTAGCTACATAAACGCTACATCCAGTAGAAATGTCAGTGACATTTGTCCTTAAAGCAGATATGAAGGTAAGTGATTAGGTAATAAATCATATCAGTAAACATTCAGGACTTTGTACAGGCACATGCTATGCTGTCTGGTTATTATTAGCAGCAGGTAAGTATGACACTTAAAGGACATGTTTGAATGGACCGTTCTGTTTCTTACATGAATAAGTGGAGCAAGTTCAACCATAAGTACTAAGTTATGCTCAGCATAGAGATACGCACGCAAACAAGTGTACAGGTGAGCAATATCAGCAACATTCTTGGAAAAACTTCATAAGGATCGTAATATTCATTCACAATAAAACCTAAAGCCCATAAAGCAAAGCAACATTCTTCACTCAAAGAAACCTTTAAAGGTCACCGGTTAAGACAAGATGAGAATGATCGTTGGTTACCAATTAGTTAGTTACTTAACTTTCCTATTTTATTAAATTCAAATAAGGACAAACACAACTTCTGTGAAACACAGAGCCATAACAGCAGCATGGGTGTGTCAGCTGACTCCGCTCTGATAGCCATCTGATCAAATATGGTATTTGGAGTCTAATCTAGTTCCAGGACAATAGGAACATCTGGTCTTCATTAGAGGTGAAAAGCCAAACAGAGCAACCTCTGAACCCCCCTGGGCTGCAGTAGGTAACAAACTCGAGGAGAAAACTACAGCAGAAGTTCAGTTTTGGGTGCGAGTGATAAGAGCAGAGAGGCTTTGGTGATGCTGGCAATGTTTTCAAACACGAGCCACAAAGCCAAGAGAAAGGGCGGTGGTTCTGATAGCTGTCATGTGCACGAACCATGTTTAAAGCCTCCTCTAGGATAAAAAGAGCAGGATGCAATGGCCACACGGTGCGGTAGTTTGTGTACATGTTGTTGTCAACTTACCCTCAGAGAGCTCCAGCTCCAGCTCCGCCAGCTTCTCCCGGACCTCCGCCGGTAGGGTCATAGCGACAGCCGGCGTGGGCTCCAACATCATCGTTAAAAACCCGGTTGAGGTTCTCTCTGCCATGGTATAAAAAAAAAAAAAAAAAAAAAAGCACGGATAGGTCCAGCGAGTCGCCGGTGATGAGGACAATGCAACAACACAATAATAATAATAATAACAACAACCCCTCCTCACTTGGTTTCGGCTACCGAGGGCAAAACAGGGTGTTGGTGCTCGTCTCGCTGCAACGTCGTACAGATGTGTGAGAAACGTCTCCTACGTGCATGACACGGCCAGCTGTGCGGCTAGCGGACACACCTGGCTGCGTGTTTCCATGTAGTGTGGTAGGACGGGGGACACTGCCAGTGTCTCCGTGTCCGCTGTCCGTCCCTCGGCGCTGACGGGCGTCCTGGCTGATCGGCAAGCTGCTGCTTCACTTCAACTGTGGAGGGAACTCATTCAACTCCTCGCTCGCTTCCCACGGCGCAGTCGCCATTGCATCATAGCAGCAGCGGCCCGGACCGTGCGCGTTCACGAGCCCCCGCTTGTGTGCGTGTCTCCTCGTTGTTTCCTCGTGTAACTTGCCTGCCTCCTATTGTCGCAATCACAATGCTGCGTGACACGGAAGTACTGGAGGCTATAATTGAAAATGTGTGGTGTTTTTGTTGTTGTTGTATTTGGTATTTACTTGGATGTCTTTATATCCCATACTATATTATCTTCACATGTGATATTGTTTTATAACATTATATATACATTCTATTTATATATTCATACAGAAAATCACTATACTACTAGTCATCACACCACCGTCACCACCAGTCACATTGTGATTTTGTACTGCTCTTGTGTAGTTTATATTTTTACTTATTCGTGTTTGAGTTTTATAATACTCTTGTTTATTTTTCACTTTCTCTACGTATCTATGCTTATTTCTCAATAATGGCTTATTAGCTCATCTTAACTGATAATTGGAACTCCTCCTGAAATCAAATGAAGCGGACACTGAACATCATGTGACATCAACATATTGGTCATTGTATTTCAATCAATGGTCTTTAACTTCATTTTAATTGAGCAAACATAAATATAGGTATAACATAGAAATATTTCAAAGGAAAGGTAAAAACCAAACCCAGAATACAGAATATAAATAAGTATCCCTGGTGGGCTACAGTAAGTAAGTAATGTCTAATTATAAAAAAGAAATGGCGGGAAGTGAATACTAAATAGTTATTTTACTATTGAAAAAGAGCTTATCTTTAAA